CATTTTTATTAGTGTATTTGGAACCTCCTTATTTTATTTTGGGGTATTGATTGAAGTGGTAACATAATGGTAAAGTAAGAGTGAACCAAAAATTTAAGTCGGATAATTTTTCCTACGAACAACCGTCACTCTTTTGCTCTTTTCTTTTTCCACACTTTGAATTTGAGTGTGAGGCTAGAACCATTGGAAATATTAATTCCGGGGCTTCAATTTGGACTCAAGAATGACCTAAAACGGAGTCCAGATGACAGAGTTATACCTGTTTGAAGTTTTGAAATCTGTGCTGGAAGAAGGTACGCTCGAGCGGGAAAAGAGACGCTCGAGCGGACCGTGCAAATTCAACAAGTTTAAAGAGACTTTTCTAGATCATTCATCACACTTTCCTCTCCTCTCTTCATCCCTCTTACCCTAGGTCCGAAAACCTTAGAGATTTCGGCCCAAATACTTCTAATTTCTCAAAGATTTGGCCAAGATCCCTTTCAAAAACGTAAAGAAGATTTGAAGATCTCACTTTTCAACTTATTGGAATTCGGATTAGTGAAGGATTCTTCTCAAAGCTTTCTCTTCTTGCTTGATTCTTGAGGTAGGGGTTCTAGTTCTCTTCCATACTTACATTAATAGATAGATTTGTGGTATTTTCATTATATAAATGCAAAATCTCCATTTTTAAGCATATAGAGTAAATCATGAGATTTGGGGGTTTAATGTTTGAGATGTTGGGGGTTCAATTGTTGGGTTAAGATGATGGATTATGAACCTTAGGTATGAAATCAATGGGAAAATTGGAATAAAAAGTAATGGCTTGAGAAGTTTGAAATTTTATTGAAATTCTTGATTTTTCTTGAAAATCCTAGGTTGATTCATGATGATAAATAATGATTTTGCCCAAATTGAAAGTAGAATCATGAAATTGGTTGGTTGAATTATATATGTACAAGTTTAATTGCATTTCGGAGGTGTTTGCAAATTATGTTAAAAATTAGCAATTAAACTTTTATTAGGGACATTGTAAATCATGCTATAATGTGAAAGGAAGATTGAGGAAATGACTTATTAATGATATAGATGACATAAACTTAATTATGGAATGTTGAAAGCGGATTCAAGAATTTATCTTGAATTATGTTGAATTGTAAATAGTGTTGTTGAATTAAGTTATGTTGGCTTATATTGAATAGTGTTGAATAGTGTTGATGATGTTGAATTGTGTTGAATGATGTTGAATCGAATTGTGTTGGACTATGATGAATTGTGTTTGAATTATGTTGAATTGTGTTAAGTTGAGTTGTGTTGGGTTATGTTGAGTTTGGGTTGAGTTGTGTTGGGTGTGTGGAGTTTGGGTTGAGTTGTGCTGGGTGGTGTTGTGTTTGGGTTGAGTTGTGGGTGGTGTTGTGTTGGTACCCGCATGGGGAGTTGAAAAATGGTTTTAAAAATTGAAGAAAAAGGTTCTTGGGGGCCCACGTCCCACCGTATAGTAGCCGGCAAATGTGGGGGTGGTTTGAATTAAAGGTGCCCAATTGCCCTGTCTAGGCTTATTGCTGGACGAATGTGAGAAAATGTTTTTGGGTGTCCACACAGTCCCGCCGTATAGTAGCCGGTGAAAGTGGAAAAATGATTTTTGGGTATCCACACAGTCTTGCCGTATTGTAGCCGGCAAAAGTAGACAAATTGATGGTTTTCGAAAATGTTTTGGGTGCCCACATCTTGCCGTATAGTAGCCGGCAAATGTGGGGGATAGTTTTCAAAAGTTGAAAAATGGTTTTGGAAAAATATGATTTTTGGAAGAACATGGCTTTTGAGAAAAAGGTTTTTGGGAGTTCACTTCCCGCCGTATAGTAGCCGGCGAAAGGTGAAGAGTGTTATGGATTGGGTGCCCGCTATCCCGCCGTAGTAAGTTGGCAAAAAAGTGGATTGTGTTGATATATGTGTTAAGTTGATGAGGCTATTCGTGACTTGTGATGCATCTATGAAATTGTAAATTGATGTGTATATTGATATAAAGAGGAAATGTATATAGACATTGTTTGTAATGTATGGAACCCAAAAATGAGTAGGGGATTATGGATTGGTGATGGTGAATATAATGAATTAGTTGTGACAATAAAAGTAAATTGTGAGTGTTGTTCTGTAATATACAAGAGATTGAATTGAAAGGGGTTTATTAATCTTGTGTCATCTTGAAATGAAATTTTAGAGTGTAATTAACGGTGTAAATTGAATATAGGAGAATTGTTAATAAATTAAAAAGGGAAACTGAACTTGAAGTAATGGAGTGTAATTAAATATAATGAGAAGGAAAGAAGAATTAAAGAAAAAGAGGAATATTAAATATGGGAAGTTAAATAAGAAATATTTTGGAATGAGTTAATAAATATAAATGATGTTGTTTCTTAGACATAAATGTTTTAAAAAGGATTTATGGTTTTCTAAGGTTAAGGGATAATTTTTAATGGCTAAAGGTTTTTTTTCTTAAAGGTGTTTAAATAGTTTTTGAGAGAAAGATCATTTACTTATGATATTTTGAAATTATAAAATGTCACCCTACTATATGGTTTCACCCTGCATGCATGATCATTTCTATCTATGTGCTAGTTATTGTTTGAGAACTATGAGACTCCTATTGGGCATTAGTGCTCACCCCGTTGTTGTTTTGTCTTTTACAGGAAGAAAGTTTGGATTATTTGATTGAAGATTTATGGAGTTCTTGAGTCCCTTTGTATAACCTTGTAATAGATGTAAAGGAAATGGATCTTGTATTTGTATTTATTTATTTGTAGCACAGTAGGAGACTGGCATGTATCGTTGTCATTGTAATATTCTTTGAGAGAGAGAACATGTTTCATTGTATTTCTATTACTCAAGTGTAATAGATATTTGTCTATGTAAAAAATAAAAAAAAATAAAAAAGACCTAAATTACAGGCTTTGGTAATGTTTCCGAGTAATTAAAAATTGGGGCGTGTCAAGAAAAGCTAGAACAAACATGCAATGAGTTATGTATATGAACATATGAGACAACAAGCAAACTAATCAAAGCATAAGCTATTTAAATAAATTAAGATAGACCTAAAATAGCCCCTAATAGGTGGAAAACAGTAGCTAAAAGTAAGAGAAAGTAAGTAAAAAGAGTAGAGAAAAAGCTATGAAACAAAGCCTAAGGAGGGGTGGCTAACCCCTCCACTCTTTGTAATTTTAAATTACATGTTTTAATCCCAAAATAGTCCAAGAACAATGGCTAAAACTACTTCAAAAAGGTAAAGAAAGTGAACCAAAATAAGAAAGAACAAACTAGACAATCAAGCTTAAGGAGGGGTGTCCAACCCCTCCACTCTTTGTGAATTAAATCACACATTTCAACCCTTTTAAGTCACCTCCAGCAGTGCACAAACTCAAGAAAAATGAAGAAGATGATTAGCAAAAACAAAGGAAAAAGATTATAAGAGTTATACCTCCTTAAAGAGTATGTATCGTTGTTGATCAAACTTAATCCAAAGCACCCTCAAGTTTATGAAATATGGTTTGAGACTTCAACAAAAGCTTCAAGAACAAGCTCCAATGGTGTATGTAGTTTGTATGTATAGTTAAAAAAGGGTTTTTAAAGGAATCAAGAAAGAAGATGGATGTTCTATTGGAAGGTTTTTCTAACCTTAAAATCTGAAGTTGGAGGTCCTATTTATAGAATTTGAGCCAAAATGGTCAAAAATATCTTCAAATAAAGATATTTGTTCAATTCCCGCTAGCTGTCTGTCTGGCACCATCGAGGGTCGGCCGGGCCTCAAAACACATAACCGGGCCTTAATAATGCACAGCCAGACCTCAATAAACAGGGGAAGGTAAAAAAAAAACACTCTGGAGAAATTTTCATCGAGGCCCAGCCGGGCCTCAATGAGGCACGGCTGGTTCTCAGTGGACCCGGCCGGGTCTTAATGACTACACTTCAAGTCCAACTTTAAATGGGCATAACTCCTTCATCTAAACTCGGTTTTAGGTCATTCTTGAGTCTAAATTGAAGCCTTAGAAGTCTACTTTCCAATGGTGGTAATCTCACATCTAAATTATAAGTGGTCAGAGAGATATACCCATTTTAGTAGAGGTTTCTCATTTTTTTCTTAACCAGATTAATGCCTAACTTCAAATAACCATATCTCCTTCATCCGAACTCGGCTTTAGAAGATTCTTGAGTGTAAATTGAAGCCTTGGAAGTCCAATTTCTAATGGTGGTGGCCTCACAACTAAAGTCAAAGTGTACAAAAAGATAGGTCTGATTTAGTGAGGCTGCCCAGTTCTCTCTTAACGGTTTCAAGCTCAACCACTTCCCCAACTAGTTTTCTTCCCTCCACTCTTATTTTCTTCAACTCCAAACATCTAAATAAGATGTTTAAATGGATTTTTCAAAGATTTCACCTCTCTTCCATTTATTTCTACTTTGTCCTTGCTCGGTTTACCGAAAAGTGCAACTTTTAACGAAATGCGAGCCTCAGAACACCATAGAAACTTTTTGAAAATATTTTGAAAGAGAGGGTTTAAAGGTCTAAAAAAAGTTTTGGTCCAAAATAGGGTGTAAGGTTGGAATTTAGAGCTCTTCTTGCTGAAGAAATAGAACATTTGCATAACACAACTTTCATCATCGAGTGATTAATCAATGGCACCCAAGTCTTAAGGGCGGTCAAAAATGGGGTGTCTACAGTGCGTAGCTTACTTGTTGTTGCTACTGCTCACCATTGGGATCTCTTTTAGATGGATGTCAAAAATGCCTTCCTTAATGGTGATCTTCTTGAGGAAGTCTGCATGCAACTTCCCCCTAGGTCTACTTATCCGGCTCATAAGGTTTGCAAACTACAACATGCTCTCTATGGTCTCAAGCAAGCCCCACGAGCTTGGTTTGCAAAATTTAGTTCCATCATCCATGACTTCGGCTTCACCTCCAGCTCATATGACTCCACTCTATTTGTTCGGACCAATCCTTATGGCACTACTCTTCTTTTTCTTTACGTGGATGATATGATTATCACTGGTGATGATGTGGCTGGTATTCTTAGCCTCAAACAATTTCTCAATCATCAGTTTGAGATGAAGGATCTTGGTACTCTTAATTATTTCTTAGGGCTTGAAATCTCTCATGATTCCATTGGTTATTATTTGTCACAAGCCAAATCTGCATCCGATCTTCTGATGCATGGTGGTCTTACCAATTGCAAGAGTACCTCTACTCCTATTGATCTTCAGACTCATCTCACTCCTTTAGACAGGGATCTTCTCTCTGATGCTACTCTTTATCGCCAGTTGGTTGGAGGTCTTGTCTATCTGACTATGACTCGTCCTGACATTGCTTATGCTATCCATCTTGTCAGTCAGTACATGTTAGCTCCTCGTACCCCGCGTTACACTGCTCTACCTCGCATACTTCGCTACTTTAAAGGCATTATGTTCCATGGCTCAATTACTCTACTCACTCTTCTCTCGAGCTTTATGCCTTTTCTGATGCTGATTGGGCTGGGGATCCTACTGATCAACGCTCCACTATGGGTTTCTGTTTCTTCTTAGGAGATTCTCTTCTTACTTAGCGCAATAAGAAACAATCCCTTACTGCTCGCTCTAGTACTAAAGCTGAATATCGCGCTCTTGCTGACACTACTTAGGAACTTTTATGGCTTCGCTGGCTCCTTGCTGATATGGGTGTTTCTTCCCCTGGTATCTGTAGACGTCCCTGAATGCCCCGGGAGGGATGGCTCCCCCCCCTTCCGGTTCTGTTCGTATTGGGCTCACTACAGTTCAGGACTCTCAAATCGTCATGGTTCTAAATCTGAACCAAAGAGTCCAAATCCGGCAAATCATTTTTAGAAAACAGATTTTGAAAGAAGTGCCAAACATGGACTGCTTTTCCAGATACAGAGTCGCCACCTAAATGTTTTATTTTGGGAAAATTTAGGAAACCCTAACTCGTTTGCCTAAGGCCACGTGTCCGTCATCACCAAAGTTGCCTCGGCTCGGGAACTTGGGTACGATTGGGAAGGTCACTGTCGGAGCATCGGCCTCTCTGACCATGATAGCTTATTTTTGAAAAACAGTATGCCGTTCTTATTCCGGTTATAAGCCTAGATTACTATGTTGATGGCCGCCAGCAGCAGTACAAGTATAGACTGGATCGTCTGAAATTGGAACAAACATCTCGTGTTTTGTTTATTTGAAGTGGTTTCTCTCGCAAGTAGGCTTAAAATGCAGATTTTGGCCACCCTCGGTGGGCTAGACAAACATGGTTTTGCCACTATCTAGTGCCGTTAAAACTCACAATGATGAATTGTCCAATTCAAAGATAACCCAACCTTCACCCACAGGCCCAAATTGCAAGGCAGTTATATCACATACGCAATTAGCCTCATGGTAAGTCAGCTATCATGGCAGTCACTTACACGCATGAAGAGATGCAAAGGATAAACTTACCGAGTACTCCAAGAACCAAAACAGAAGCTAATTAGAAATCCATGCATGATCCTAACTATACAGAAATGCCTAATGCAACACACGCAAAAGTGCAATTATAGCAGGCTCGGCTATTCTAGACATGGCATATGAAATGCTACAGCTAACATGTATTCAACTTGGAATTGAAAATTCAATGCAGTTAGTATGATGCGCCGAGCCCGGTGCATGCAAAACAGATGAATGAATGCAAACATGCTGTCATACTGTATGCTAATTGAAACATGCCCTAATCTAACCATCATAAGCGGGTAAATAAAAGGGAGAAAGACGTGGGGTTGCAAGACATACATCACACGCACGCACACTTATTACAGTTGTGTCCTCACGCAGAGGGGCCGAATAAATAATATACAGTCCCAAATGAATAATTACAGTCCAAATATGTACAAAACCCTAAGTAATTAACAAATCAAATTAGGAAAGCAATAAATTGGCATGCAAGCCAGGGACTGCCTCAAATCTGCTTCGGATGATGAATGATGCATGCTCCGGTTGCCTTTGTCGGAGAATCCCTTGCGATGTCCCGGTTTGCCTCTGTTTGCAATTATTCTTGGAATGCGTGCCAAGCTCCGAAAGGCTGCCGATTTCTAATTTGATGCGACATAGAGCAACAAAGGGGCATGGCAAAGTATTTTCACATATGTATGCATGACTACTCTTCAGGGAGTGTAGTCCTCGATCCTCGTGCCACCAATCGCGTATATCGATGCATGATGGTCGAGGAATCGATTTGCACGACTCAATATGAAATGAATGCACATATAAACACAACAAGACCTAAACTCCATCATGGATAATCCGGAGTGTTGGTGACTGGGAATTGAGACACGTTCCGTCACTCGAAGTACGAAATGTCCCTCGTTTCCCGTGCTCGGGCTAACTCCTATCCCAAACACAATACAATATGCATGATATGCATGAATGCAATTCTAAAATGCAACCTAACATACACAATGCTATGAAATGGCATACACGATGCACGAGGTAACATGGCATATACAATGCGCTAACATACAACCTAGCATACGCAATGCTATGAAATGAAATGGCATACACAATACACAATGGACTTACACCAACATGAATGGACCTCAACCACACTCACATTAGTATCCATTAGATGAAAAATGAGACTCTCGAAATACGTGCACGCATGCACGCAAACCGAGGACCGAACCTAAGGCATAAAATGCCACTCTAACAAGGCATGGCAAGGCACGGCAAGGCACGAAATATGGCATACAAAAATGCAAGTTTCAGCACTGAAATATGATGCAAAATGATCCCGAAACATGGAAACATGGCACCCGATGCATGGAATGGCCCCGAAACACAAAACTAAGCATACGCATTGGCCTATAGCTATACAAAACATGCATTATTTGATCATGAAGCATGAAGAAAGATGCAAGAAAGTCCCAAAACATGCATATTTCCATTTTATAACAAGCCTCAAAAATGAACACAAATAGGGCTAATCTATCATGCAAAAACGGCCCTAAAAGAGAGATTAAACACAAAGGGACAGAAGTTGGCCCCCAATGGCAAAGAGCCCTTCAACAAAGTTGAAGAGGGGATCAACACTAGGCACTTTACAGTTTACATCAAGCCACGAAAATAATCACAAATAAGGCCAAACTATCATGCAAGAAAAGGCCTAAAAGAGGGGTAAAGAGACAAGTGGCAGCCGCTGTTCTCAAACAGAGGAGAGCCCTTCAAGAATATTGAAGAGGGGCTCAAAACATGATATTTCACAGTTTATGGAAAAGTCCAAAACAGCTCGCAAATAAGCCTAAAATACTACGCAAAAATTGGCCTAAAAGAGAGATAAAGAGGCAAGTGGTAGTAGGAGGCCTCAAAAAGAGGAGAGCCCTTCAAAAATGTTTAAGAGGGGCTCAAAACAAGTTATTTTAAAGTTTATGACCAAGTCCAAAACAACTCACAAATAAGCCTAAAATACTATGCAAAAAATTGGCCGAAAAGAGAGTTGAAGAGGCAAGTGATAGTAGGAGACCTCAAACAGCAGGAGATCCTTAATCAAACATGAAAAGGGGGTCAACATACGACTATTTACAGTTTGGGTCGGATCCCAAAAATGCTTGAAAGCAAGGCTTAGATATAGAGCAAGAAAAGACTAGAAAAGGGAGAAAGAGGACTCACCCTTGAAGACCAATGAACCAGCAGCTTTTGGTTGAAGAAATGGTGCCCCTAACCTTTGGAAATAAACTCCAATTTGCTGGAATGGAGTATGGAGGTGTGGTGCTATGAGGTGGTGTAGAAATGGTCCAAGAACAAAGGTATTTGATGGTTGAATGAGAGAGATGGAGGATGTATGTATGCAAGGCTCCAATTGGTTTTTGTCAACCCTCAGAAATGGTGGAGAGGTGCTGGTCTTATAGAGGGAGAGAGGCAAGGAAAGGGGGGAAAATGAAATTCAAATTTCCCCCCCCCCCCAAAAGAGCCCCCCTTGGATACAGGATCTGGGGGGAAAAAGAGAGCATATCTGTAAGGAACCAGGTGAGGGGGTCATGGCCGGCCAGGTTCAGAAGGTTCAGGGGGCCGGCCGGCCACCTCCCATGGTCGGCCGACCAAGGGTCAAAAGGGTCAATGACAATTGCTGGTCGGCCACCTAAAAAAGATGGCCTCCCATGTATGCACAACACAACTATGTGGTCAAAACCAAAAAAATGTGAACCAGGAGAGAGAAAATACCATTTTTTAGAGGGGTTCAAAAGGGGCAGGCACAATTACTAGTCGGCCACCAAATATTGGTGGCCTCCCAGGTGTGTACAACACAAATATGGGGTTTAAGGTTCAAGAAAGTGGCCCCGGGGTGGTCAACATTGGCTTTCAAGTGAGGAAAACGGGCATCGGAGAGCAATGAAGGAATTAAGCTGGCTTTTTAGAAAAATTTCTGGCCTCCCACCCTCATACAAGCTTCCTAACTATGAAAATAAGGTCTCCACCAAAAATGAACCAAAACAGATGCAAAATGGAGGTTCGGGGACCGAAACGCGCGGCCTGGGACCTCAAAAAATGGGCTGTTAAGCACCGGAGGTGGTGGTTGACCACGAAGTTGGTATCTCGGGCCACAGTGTCCCCCAAAATGGAGTAAATAAGGTGTATGCCAAAAACCGGAGTAAACGGAGGTGGTTAGGCGGTCCCGAACCGAGCCACACGGCGTCAGCTCCGAAAAATCAGAAACCGGGCTCCAAACGGGAAAAATGGCCTACGACCATGAAACGTAGCCTACGGCCACTGAGAGATGATTTACGAGACCTCTCCCTCCCTTCGGGAAGAGAAAACAGAGCCTGGTTCACAAACCGAGGCAAGGCACGAAAGAGTCCGGAAGTCTAGAGGCAAGGCTTGCAGCCGGGATTCTGAAACTTCTGGACGAGCACAATATGCAATATCACCGAGCGCTCAATCAGTGACGTCTGAGTCTTATGGTCGGTCAAAAATGGGGTGTCTACAGTTGCCCCTCTTTGACAGAACTCGGAAGTCATAAGTGACGGGAGTGAATGTCAAAGCCCAGAGACGACCCATTTTTGACAAGGCCGAAGACTTAGACAAAGAGGTGAGATAAATAGAGATGTGCCCGCAGGCAGGGGCAAAATGCAACCGACAATGCAAGAAGCCGAAGGTATCTCAATGATCATGCAAATGTAGCTAGCTGCAATGAAGCACATATTCACAATAGATGCAACAGTTTTAAGCAAGAATGCAAAGCAACAACTACATTTCATGCAGTTAAGAATGCGGAGAATTATTCAATTCTCGCCACGTCTCACACGGAGAAGATACAATACCTGCGCGGTTCATCTGGTCGCACCAGTCTCAAATGAACCGTACATACAATATCGTGCCTGCAAAAGGAAGAAACTCAACAAGCACAATATATTTAACAACACATGTTCAAAGCGATACTGATTGCAGACAATCGCGGCGCCGATAGAAAGGTGCATCGCAATGCGAGGAGTAACGCGCGTGACAATGCGGGTTAAGCACGAGGATTTGACAACACCTGTGAAACATGCACAATAGCATGAGTGGTGTGCATG